CGGTCCGATAAAATGTCAATTTTTACAACATTTCTAAAGGATTTAGTTAACAATATGTGGATATAAAGTAATTTCAGTATATGTGTTCTAATGTCCGATAAGAAAAAGAGTGAAAAAAGTGAACTTTTGACTGAAAAATCAAAAAATAAACGTGAAGCCACGTCACCTTTGTTAGAGGGCAATGAACCGGATTGCACGGACTACTCGTATGGTGATTTACACAAGTGTAGTGAGAAGTGTAGTGATACCAAAACGCAACGGACAAATAAATATAGGAATAAAAAAAGCAAAAACACTAGTGATAATACACAAACTGTAAGTAGTCACTTTATAGATTGGCCTATGGCTTTTTCCGGCGCTCCATTCGGAATGATTCAGCCGTCATATGCTACGAGCCCGCCGCCATCCATGGGGTTCGGGTTCCCAACGCCAGGCGCTGGATTCCCTTCAAATCCACCACAATGGGCGACTGAACTCATAAATGACGTAAAAATGATAAAGGAAAAACTTCATTCTATCGATAAAATTGAGAAGTCAATTTCATCCATTAATATAAAAATGACAGACATAGAATCAAAAATTAAATCATTCGGTACTAGGATCATTGAAACTGAAAAATGCTGTGAATACTTGTCTAAGGACAATGATTCGATACATCGTGAATTAAAAGACACACGAAGTGACCTGAAAAATATAAAATACGATTTTAAATTTGTAGAATCACAATTCACTCAGATATGCAGGGTGCAGGAGAAACTTGAACAACAGGTTATAAATCTAGAAATGCAGTCACTGCAGAATAACCTTTTGTTTTATGGATTTCCCGAGGAACCAGACGAGAACTGCGGAAACCTAATAAAAGAGCTATGCAGAGATACGTTGAAATTGTCTGACGCTGAAATATCTTGGTTTGAGAAACCCCCTATCGTCTTGGAAAACGTTCGCCTGGAAAAACACGTCCTATTTTAGCACGTTTTATACACAATCATCAACGGGAACGAGTAAGGTCCGCGTCTTTCGATCAAGCAGACGACTTGAGGGATGTAGCACGTGGGATCGGGATTCAACTACCCAGGACAGTGCGTGATGCTAGACGACCTCTGTATCCGAAAATGGAAGAGGCGAAAAAGGCCGGTAAATCTGTAAAATTCATCGGAATAAAATTATCCATTAATAATGTAGAATACAAACCGAGTAGTGATTACTAGAGATGTCATGAAGAGTTACCCTTAAATGTACTGTGTTTGAATGTCAACGGACTAATAAGACATATTACTGATACTGATTTTATTTCGTTTATATCTAGTTATGATTTAGTGTTTCTAAATGAGACTTGGATTTCGAAAACTGACTTATATAGATATGATATTTTCTGGATTTACTTGCATTCAACTTAGTGGAAATAAGGTAAAGAACAGTAGCAGAGGTAGATACAGTGGCGGTATTTCTTTATACTTTAACAATGATATTAAAAAATATATAACTGTAGCAGAAATGAACCAATATGGATATATGTGGATTAAATTAAGTCAAGAACTATTTTCATTTAATGAAGATGTATTTATATGTCACTTGTATATACCTCCCGTAAATTCTAAGGTAATTAAACAGGAGGAATTTGATTTTTTTGAAAATTTAGAAAATGATATTTTGAAATATAACGAATTAGGCAAAATATACGTAACTGGCGATTTTAATAGTCGCACCGCCGATTTGCCTGACTATTTTTTATTTGATAAATACTTAGACGAAAACTACCCTTTTGTTAACCGAATAAACATACCCGAACGAGTTAACAGAGACCACGTGATTGATACGCACGAGCGTCGTCTGCTGGATTTGTGTATATCAACCGGTTTGTCGATAGCAAACGGTAGGGTGTCACATGACCGCGATAAGGGCGATTACACGTACTGTTCACATCAAGGGCAAAGTACTGCAGACTACTTACTATTAAACCGTCATGATTTCGGCTCATTATTGAGTTTCGAATTTCTCGATTTCAACTCATTTTCGGACCACGCGCCTTTAACGTTTAGTTTGCCTAGAAAGAATTTAAACAAAAACTATCAGTCAGTACCTTCCGTTGATAATACATCTACCCAAAGAATTGTATGGGATCAAAATAAAGTCAGTCTTTTTACAGAAAATTAAGTAATAAAAGAAATACGTTTTTGCAATTATCAAAGGCTTTAAATATAGAACCAATAGATGTTGTTGTTGAAAATTTTTCATCGGAACTTTTAAAATCTGCTTCTGATGTATTCAGACAACAAACAAACGTAGAAAAATTTAATACTCGCCAAAACAAAAATAAATGGTTTGACTATGCTTGTTTACGCGAAAAAAAGCAGTTCAATAGCGTCCGAAATAATTTCTTGCGTAACAGAGATAATGATGATATCAGACGGAACTTTGTGCACGCGCGAACAAAATATAATAAAGTTAAAAAAATCGCGAAACGGAAATTCAAAATTAACGAGGGCAAAAGACTAGAAGATCTAGCAAAGAAAAATCCTAGAAATTTCTGGAAAACCCTGAAAAAAATAAATAAGAATGTCATAGACAACCCAGAATCTCTTAATATTAATGACCTACGTGATCATTTTAAAACACTTTTTGGGGAAACCAGCTCAAACGATATGAGTGGTAATGTCTTCGTCGGTTCCGAAATTCCGGAAATTGATATAAATTTTACAGAAACAGAGTTACGGACTGCCATTTTTTCGCAGAAAAATAATAAATCGCCAGGCAGTGATCAGATTACTAGCGAAATGCTAAAAACCTCATATGATATTATTTCCCCCTTTTTATTAAACCTGTATAACAAATTATTTAATACAGGGGAATATCCAGTAAGTTGGGGTGAAGGAATAATCGCCCCCATATTTAAAAAAGGAGATGTAAATAAGGCTGAGAATTATCGTGGCATTACTCTTATTAATACATTAGCAAAAACCTATTCACAATTACTTTTGAATAGGTTAACTTCCTGGTCAAACAAATATGAGAAAATTTCCAAAAACCAATTTGGCTTTCAAAAGGGTAAATCGATAACTGATTGTATATTTATTCTCCATTCTATTATTCTTAAGGTACTTAATTCTGGGAAAAAGCTATATTGCGCCTTTATAGATTACCAACAATGCTTTGATAAAATAGATAGATATTTTTTATATGAAAAACTTGTTGCTGCAAATCTCAGTTCCAAATTTGTTCGAGCTATCAAATCGATGTATACTGTAGTAAAATCTTGTGTAAGGTTTAAAAATACATATTCCGATTTCTTCAATTGTGATATTGGTCTCAAGCAGGGAGACCAGAGCTCGCCTCTGCTGTTCATGCTCTTCGTTAGTGATATAATACAAAACATAAACACTGACATAGATGATATATTTAGTCTAAATGAACAAAAATTATTTCTCATTCTATATGCAGATGATCAAGTGCTGTTTGCAATGTCCCCTGAAAGTTTACAGTCAATGTTAAATGACGTCGTTGTTTATTGTAATACTTGGGGTTTGAAAATAAATACGTCAAAAACCAAGGTCATGATCTTTGAAAAGGGAAGAACCACAAATTTTTCTTTTTATATTAATGACACACAACTTGAAATAGTAGACTCTTTTAAGTACTTAGGAATTACTCTTTTTAAAAATGGCAATTGGTCGAGGACACAAAAATGTATTGCTCAGCACGCATCGTTTGCATTATTTAATTTGTTTCGTTTGTTTAATAACGCAGAATTTACTTTTTCAAAGAAATTTTACTTATTTGACACGTTGGTTGGTTCAGTTCTTAACTTTGGATCTGAGATTTGGGGGCACCATAAGGCCAGGGAGATAGAAGTTGTACACACGAAATTTTTACGACGAATACTTTGCGTTAAACGATCAACCAACCTATCGGCACTATATGGTGAAACTGGGCGTTTTCCCCTTGAAATTATGCGAAAGATTACTATGTTAAAATACTGGATGAAAATATTATCGCAAAAAACTAATTCTCTGATTTTACAGACATTTCTAATGCTTAAAAATGACACTGATTTTAATAGACATTACGCACGAAATAACTGGGCGTACCAAATCAAGACTATACTAGATAGCCATGGTTTTAGTTATATTTGGGATCACCAATTTGAAATCGACATTCCTTTCGATGAAATTAAGAAAAGAATTTATGATTCATACATGCAAACATGGTATGGGGAAATTAATAATTCAAATCGACTTAATTCATACGCGATATATAAACATGAATTCGAGCTTGAGAAATACCTTAATATCATCTACGAAAATAAATACCGAATAGCATTAACTAGGTTTAGAACTTCGTCACATAGCTTAAATATTGAAACCGGAAGATATAATAACATTCAAAGAGAAGATAGATTATGTAGGTTATGTAATATGAATCAAATCGAATCGGAATACCATTTTCTTCTAGTTTGTCCTTTTTATCGTGATTTAAGAAAAAAATATTTACAGCTTTACTTCTGTCACTGGCCAAATATCAAGAAACTTGAGTTACTATTATCATCACGTTCGAATAAAACTATTTATAATGTAGCTAAATTTATATACTATGCGAATCTAAGTCGCGACGCGTAAATAAAAGTTCATACAGCATGTTCAATCTATAATTAGTTTAACTCACGATTTTTCTCGTATTTAGTTGGTTTACTACTAGATAGAAGTATTTTAAGTATTTACACGCGCACGAGAATCTCATTTTACGCGCGGGAGGTATAAACAGAAACCTTGTGTAGCTGATTCAATTTATATTTAAATGACCAGTCTTTTTTCTTGTAGTTTATATTTAAATGATCAGTCTTTTTTCTTGTATCAAAAGTAAAATATTATCAATTAAGTATTAATCATAATTGATAATCATGTACTCTTCTGTAAACCATGTTCTCTTTGTATATTATACTCTGTATGCTAAAAACATTGTAAAATGTTTAATGTTGAATAAACTATTATTGTATTGTATTGATTAGGATCATTACATCAATAACGCTATCCGATAATTATACAATCGAATAATTGCACAGGTTATATAAAGATTTTGATTAAATGTTCTCAAAACATAATTCCCTACTTGTAACGGAAAATTTGTATTTCGCACCCTCAGTTGATTGCTGTAAATACCCGATAATTACCAAATAATAGATTGTTTTTCTTTGCAATATTAACCAAACGATAATAAACAAATAGCAAAAGAATACTTTATAGACAAGTTAATACAAATTAATACATGTACCATGTACATAATATATTGTTTAATAAAATGCCCGGCATAAAATAACCATTTAATAACCGCTGCAGTAAAATACAGGTTACACCGGTAACCTGTGAAAAGTATGACTTTTCCACGGCAAATTTCCCCATCCAGACAAGTCAGCAAATTGTTGCTACTTCGCTTTTAGCGAACTTCGGATTTAACGAACGATATTTTAATGTCCCATTGAGTACATTATAACCGGAGTCGACTGTATTTATATATACCAGTTCCTTTGTGTATTTAACATATAACTGGTATTGATATATACAATTTCCTTTGCGTATCTAACATATATATACCATTCCATTGTCCTATATCATATAACTTGTATTTATATATACTATTCCATTTCCATTGCTATACATATTTATATGACTGGTATTTGCATGTTATCTTTTACTTCTAACTTTTCTGACCATGTAAATTACATTAAACATCTGTTTTATGTTATTTTCATTAAATTTAATTATTCATTAATTCATTAAAAAATTTTACTTGTTTATTAACAAATCTATTTATGCATTCTTATTAGGACATTACTTTTTTCAAATCATATTTCTTTTCACAAACTATATCTGATATTTAAAAAATAACCTTTACCTTTATCCAGATTAATATATTTTTTCTTTATATTTCACTGCATTTCTTTCATTTATTTATTTAAATACACATTTGAATATTACTTTCATCAATTTTAATATTATTACAATGATCAGAAATTAATATTTAATGAACTGTTTTTGATGATTGTTATCTATCATATTGCTATACATTCATTAATTAACATATCAATATGTAACTTTAGTATTGTTTTATTTTTATTTTTTTGCTGATAATGTTTTTATTTTAATAATTATGTCTTTTATCATGAAATAATTTAGATTAAGCACTATGTTAACTGCATGTATTCTCTCTCACTATGTTAAAAATTCAGATCATTTTTTTTGTTGAAAATGAAAAACCAAATTATCATCTCTTTTAATAATTTAGTTTAAACACTTCATGTGTTCTAAATTGATACTTTTATCCCCTTTTTGTTGAAAATTCAAACAAATCATCTCTTTTAACATGCAATAATTTATGTTTACTACAAGTTTACTATATCACTTTTTTGTTGAAAAGTCAAACAAACGATCATCATCAAGTTTAACATGAAATAACTGATCCTTATCTTTAACATACTGTATAGCATCATTTCCCTTCTCTCCTACAAGTCCATATAACAATGGTAACCTATCATCATTAACCTCCTCACCATATCCTGTTATATAACAGCCCCTTACTCTCACATCTACAGTATGAGGAAGACTAGTAAGACTATCAACAAACTTCAGCCATGTTGTCAAACTCATTATGGCGTGATAAAGCTTAATGTTCTTTAAACTCTTCATCTCTAAAGGTAACTGTATTATATTGTCAGCTAACCTACACGACAGTAACTCAAGCTTACTGAGATTGTGTAACAATGGTAATACTGTGACAAGTCTCTTTGTTATGTTGGTATGATATAATTGAGATTTATTGGTATATTCTCCATTCAATTCAAGTTCTTTTAATTTGTTAGATTTATTAATAATATCAAATATTTTCTCATAATTACTTTTTTTCAATTCATAAAATGAAAATATTTCAAGGTTTGTAGTATCAGCATCTATCACACTAACAGTACCAAACAAATAAAGGTACAAAAGTTGTTGATGTTTTGATAAATTTACATCATGCTGGTCCTCACACTCACATTGAACATATTCAAGATGTATTTGTTCAAGATGACTGGTTCCCTCAAGAAAATTACAAAATGTAGAAAAATCATCATGACTCATTGTTATATATCTCATACATATTGCTACAAGATTGATCATACTAGGTAGGTAACTACCAACTGTTTTATACACTGGGTAATACTCGTCAGTGTAATAGACACGATCAAGAGACAGAGATTTTAATGTTGAAGTATTTACTTTAATTGTCTCACAAACACAATTGTTAATCTCATTAATCCTCTGTTCATTACTCTGTGTACTATCACTTTGTGTACTTAAGAACCTTTGTGATATAAGGTCATATGATATTTCAATTTTTTCAAGATGATGAAACATTGGTAAATATTTTGCAAATTTAATATTTTCTGTGTTGATGTTATCTATATAAATAGACAGAACAGAATCAGGAACAATTTGATGCTTATCAATACTTGAACAAACAATATCACAATACTGACCCTGTACATAAAGGACTAAATCTCCTATATAAAATACAGGATTATTTCCTATACAACATGTTGCATTGAATTCTTCCATTGACTCAAACATAAGCTTTTGAATATCAGTTATACAACTATGGTCCTCATAAAAGTCACTACTTATTGTTCTCCTGCATTCCTGCACACGAGAGTCTTCTGACACAGTATCATATATGTATTTTGAAACATGCGTTGCTAATCTAGGTTCTAGACCACATAGCATAATGATAACATTTGACTGCTCTAATATGTCATTTACTGTTGAACATTTCTGGAAAACCTCAATAATAAACTTCTTGGCTAATTCAACATTTCCTGTACTATCTGACAAACCAATTTTTGCATTGAAATTGATACAAATATTTACTGCAGCCAGAAATTCTTGCATTGATTTGTGAATAAAGAAGAACAATGAGCTTGATGCTTCTGATACAGATAAACTTGAACATTCATCTTCAGTCATTATTCCAAGTTTCAAGCAATTTTCTCTTACTTCATCTGATATTTCAAGTTCATATAACATACAAATGTCAAATGTCAAGGATTTATCCTTCGGACAATTAAATAGTGTCTCATAAGCCAACTGTGACACTTCATAAATGAAATGGTTGTTTAATCTTAATTTGGTTATTCCAGATAAATAATGAGGGAGGCTTACTTTCTGAGCACCTTTCATGAGTCGAGTACTTGTTCCTGTAGTTTTCATGTCATTCCATGTAAAGAATAGTTCTAACATGCCGGTGTAGATGGCACATCTTGAGGTTTTATCGAGTTTACCATCAAACCATAAACATATCAGTTGTTGTAGCATTATTGGTACCTGTTTTAAACTTTTCAGAGACTTTACTTCTAGCTTTTTCATACAATCTCTAGCTTGTTTATTAGCATGTCTATTTACATTTAATTGTGAGACTGTCCTATTTACCATTTCCCTTTCACATCTAAAATCAAACCCTTTCAGATTAAGCCACTGTTCAATCTCCACATCACTTGATCTTAATGTATGAAATTTCCATGGCCGCGAAGTAGTTAATATTGTGTACTCCTTAAAGATACTATGTTCTGGGACATTTTCAGAAGACCATTCATCCAAGCCATCAAGCAAAATCATAACTTTAGAGGATTCCTCTTCAAGAAGTGTGTGTAACATTTTCATTTCATAACGTTTTAGAAGCATTTCATCGATAGTGCCAATGTTCTGATACTGTCTAAGAGTGATGTAAAATACAAAATCAAATTTCTTCATTTCTTTTACACCGTTGAATTTCAGTTCATAATTTTTGATATCATATTCAGAGTCGCTATCATATTCAGAGCCAAATTTTAAATATTTTAAAATACTTTTATTGCCCTCAATGTTGGATTCGGAGTCTGTTAAGTCATCACTGTTATCCTGAATGTCCTCACTGTTACTTTCATTTTTCTTAATGTCACCCAAATGTTTTTCATATCCTGGTTTCTCATTAACACCTTGATGTGTCTTACTGCTGTCTTCGTTTTCAATGTCTCCACTATGTGCCCCCTTTAACTCTTCATTTACAATGTCATTTCCCTTTTTATCATGTTCTTCATTATTACCTCCATGTTCCTCACTGCCAGTTTCATGTTTTTCACTGTCACCTGCATGTTTTTCACTGTCACCTCCATGTTTTTCACTGTCACCTCCATGTTTATCACTGTTACCTTCAGGTTTACAATTGCCATCTTCATTTTCATTGCCAGCCCCATGTTTTTCACCGTCACATCCATGTTTTTCACTGTCACCGTCAGGTTCACCATTGCCATCTTTGTTTTCATTGTCCGCTTTATGTTCCTCACTGTGTGCCAAACACCAACAATTAACAAGATATTTACAAAAACTAGTTTTTCCTGACCCTGCATCTCCTAGAACATATACAGATTTTTTAGGGACTCCCTCCTTTGTGAAGATTTCTGACATTGTTTTAACCTCCACCTCCTTTGTCTCCCCCCTTTCTCCTTTTATTTCCCTCGTTATTTTGGGCCTAATATAAATCTCATTAAAGCTACATTTTTCACTTTTTGGTTGTAAAGGTGTTGTAGGAACTTGCAGCAGGGTTTTGTGATACTGTTCAATCAGCTTTTCTCGCCATTCTGTAATTTAAATGATTAAATGAAATCCAATTGTTAAGGACAAATCAATGAGTTAATGATACAGAAAATTAGTATGGACCTGCATGAACAGATTATCACAGGCCAAAACACTTATTGTGCAAAAATAAAGATAACAGTTTATTTTACGGTAAATTCACATCAACAAGATTCAATTTAGGTATAAAAGAACAGAATATCAGTCAGCCAGTTTTTAAATAAAATTCACTTTTTCTGTTTATATATACTTAACTTTACTTGTCAATCATCTGCTTTCTACTTTGTTTAAAGTTATTTAAATATGAAAACAAATATCAACAAAGGAAGCATTGCATTCCATGAATGCATACCCTAAGTATCTTGGTAGTTTATCTCCAAGTCTCAATAATTTCAAAAGAATTGAAACTGAAATTCATTTTGTATGAAAACACATTCCAAATTCAAACGTTCTTCGGGCTAACATTTTGCTTTGGATTTTTGCAGGCCCAAATGGGATTTCTCCCGCCTCTAGTCATCGAGGTGTGCCTTATTTCGCAGACTGCAGTATATAACATACCTGATTAAGCCTTTACATATCCTGCATAAAATACCTACTTTAGCCTTTTCATATATGATATAACATGCCTGATTAAGCCTTTTCATATAATATATACAATACCTGATTTAGCCTTTTTCATATATTAACATAATATGTAACATTCCTGATTAAGCTTTTTCATATTCTAGGTAACATTCCTGATTTAGCTTTTTCATACTCTATATAACATACCTAATTTAGCCTTTTTATATATCATATAACATTCCTTATTTACCTTTTCATATTCTACATGTATATAACATACCTAATTTAGCCTTTCCATATATTAAATAACATATCTCACTTAGCCTTTTCATATTTTATATAACATACCTTAAGCACATGCTTTCTAATAATTGGGGAATAAACACGGGTTTTCATGGAATGGCACGGAATATGAACATATCTACGGATGTTTTTGAATGCAAAATTTTATCATTTCATGTTTAAATGTTGAATTCTGCTTAAGTTGATGCTAGAAGGCTTGGACGGTAGTTTGCACTTACCCCTACTGTCCATGAACAGGCTCAGTCAAACCAAGCCTACAACATTTTCAATTTTGTCGTTTTGGGCTTTCTTTAGGGATTCTTTTTTCTTCTTTTTTAACACTTTTCATATTCTATATAACATATCTCTTCAAATTGTGTACAACATATTCATATTCACATTCTATTTACCATACCTGATTTAACCTTTACATATTCTTTATAACATACCTGATTTAGCCTTTTCATATTCTAACTGTTTTTGTTGAGTAGAATCTTCTACCTTAAGTCGTTTTATCTCCTACAAAAAATATAATACAAATAATTGTGTTTTATTCATTAAATTTTCAAAAATGTTTATTGCATAAAGTAATATATTGGTATTTTTAGTCGTTTTGTTTGGAAGATGTTTCATGATAAATTTCTAAGCTCTAACTCTTTGGGGTTTTTATAAGAAGATTTTGTAAGCTTTTACTATATACATATAGGGAAAGACAAGCCCCCCCTCCTAGGAGGGGCCAATTTTTACCCCAGGGCTTCTATTTGAACAAACTTGGTAGACACCCATTAGACTATGTTTCTTGCTTCATATCTAAGCTCTAGCTATTTTGGTTTTTCAGAAGAAGACATTTTAAGTTTTTTACTATATACAAATAAGGAAAGTCAATGACCCCCCTGGGGCGGGGCCAATTTTGACCCCTGGGTTTGTATTTGAACAAACTTGGTAGACATCCACAAGAAGATGTTTCATGATTAATATCTAAGCTCCAGCTATTTGTTTTTTTAGTAGAAGATTTTTTAAAGGTCTGTGGTCAAAAATAGGCATGTTATTCTGTTTTATGTAGATTTCGATATGTAGATTACAATGAACACAATAAAAAGTGTTTTAAGAAGTCCTTTGATAAAAAAAGCATGATTAAAATAGTTGTATTTTTCCGTAATGAGATCGGTAATAGCCACCGCCATTTTAACTGATGACGTAGGAATATCCCTACCTTGTTTTGTTAAACTTCATGTCAGTTATACTTATGTGTAAATATTTCTCGCTAATACGTTAAAATATCAGTTATTCTGTGCAATTTAGCGTATTGTACAAGTTTTTGTTTCTAAACGAAAATCATGTGAAAAAATAAAGATTTTCTTTTTATATTAATAAGTTCTCTAACTGAACGTGACCATAAACGCTGCAGATTTTCAAATACTAACAGCCAACCAATTATTCAAATGGATTGTAAACAAATAAAAGCAGAGAGAAATAAAAACCGCTCTATCAACCGGAAACAAACAGTAATACATGTACCGTATATATCAAACAGAAACAAACAGTAATACATGTACTGGTATATCAACCAGAAACAAACAATAATACACGTACTGCAGAGTGTTCACTAGCCACGAAATCCTGAGGGTCATTTTAACAAAGTTTTACCAACTACAATGCCAATCCCCATGATTTTAACAACATTTGACCCTCTAGTTAAAATATTGAGGGTCAAATCAAGCCTTTTGGAAATTTGAAGGGTCAAAGAGTCATTTCAAGGGTCAAACGGACACCCTGTGACAGTACTGGTACATGTATATCAACCGGAAACAAACAGTAATACATGTATCGGTATACCAACCAGAAACAAACAGTAATACATGTACCGGTATACCAACCAGAAACAAACAGTAATACATGTACCGGTATACCAACCAGAAACAAACAGTAATACATGTACCGGTATATCAACCAGAAACAAACAGTAATACATGTACCGGTATACCAACCAGAAACAAACAGTAATACATGTACCGGTATACCAACCAGAAACAAACAGTAATACATGTACCGGTATATCAACCGGAAACAAACAGTAATACATGTAGTGGTATACCAACCAGAAACAAACAGTAATACATGTACCAGTATATCAACAGGAAACAAACAGTAATACATGTACCGGTATATCAACCAGAAAACAAACAGTAATACATGTACCGGTATACCAACCAGAAACAAACAGTAATACATGTACCAGTATATCAACAGGAAAACAAACAGTCATACATGTACCGGTATACCAACCAGAAACAAACAGTTATACATGTACCAGTATACCAACCAGAAACAAACAGTAATACATGTACCAGTATATCAACAGGAAACAAACAGTAATACATGTACCGGTATTCAACGGAAACAAACAGTAACACATGTACACTGTATATCAACCGGAAACAAACAGTAATACATGTACCGGTATATCAACCGGAAACAAACAGTAATACATGTACAGGTATATCAACCAGAAACAAACAGTAATACATGTACTGGTATATCAACCGGAAACAAACAGTAACACATGTACCATTATATCAACCAGAAACAAACAGTAATACATGTACCGGTATATCAACCGGAAACAAACAGTAATACATGTACCGGTATATCAACCGGAAACAAACAGTAATACATGTACTGGTATATCAACCGGAAACAAACAGTAACACATGTACCGGTATATCAACCAGAAACAAACAGTAACACATGTACCGGTATATCAACCAGAAACAAACAGTAATACATGTACTGGTATATCAACCGGAAACAAACAGTAACACATGTACCGGTATATCAACCAGAAACAAACAGTAACACATGTACCGGTATATCAACCAGAAACAAACAGTAATACATGTACTGGTATATCAACCAGAAACAAACAGTAATACATGTACCAGTATATCAACAGGAAACAAACAGTAATACATGTACCGGTATATCAACCGGAAACAAACAGTAACACATGTACCGGTATATCAACCGGAAACAAACAGTAATACATGTACCGGTATATCAACCGGAAACAAACAGTAATACATATACCGGTATATCAACCAGAAGCAAACAGTAATACATGTACTGGTATATCAACCGGAAACAAACAGTAACACATGTACCGGTATATCAACCGGAAACAAACAGTAAAACATGTACCAGTATATCAACCGGAAACAAACAGTAATACATATACCGGTATATCAACCAGAAGCAAACAGTAATACATGACCAAGTATATCAACCGGAAACAAATAGTAATACATGTTTTTGTTTGCTTGTTTGTTTCAGTTTATGCCTTTTCCCAACAGTATTTCAGTCATATAGGCGGGTAGTTTCCTAACCATCGTTCCTGAAGAGTTACACCAAAGTATCTCCCAGGGATCAAACCCATGCCAGAGAGGAAATTGGATTAGAAGTCACTTTTTTGTATACTTCTTTATGAAATAAGAATAATTCAGATTATAATTATAAACTTCATTAATCTTTAAATGTCTTTCTTGTCCTACTAAATCACTGCGAAGTTCCTCAAGAAAAAACCTACAACTTCCTTTTGACAAAAATAATCTATGAATTTATGAATTAAAAATTTATGAAATTTCTACATTTTTTGTATGTTTATTTATTATACACCATCGTATTTTCTTAGATGTAAATGTTTCTAAATGCATCAAATACCAATACGTGCCAACGATTACGTTGTAATTTATTTCAGCTTGTGTTTTTTTTTCAATTTCGAAAATGAGTTTCGATCTTCATAATATTCTAAGCATTGATAACAAGTGCACATCAAAAAAATCTGATTTGGCTAGTACATTGTTACAATGGAACTATATGTATACTAATTACTTTATATCTTGTATTATTAACCAACAATTAAAAGGAGACGTACATGTACTTCACATGGAAAGCATTTTGGTATCATTTATGTAACTTGTATAAATTTATCTAAAAGCCTGACTTAAAAGTATAAAATTACCTTGTTCAGAAGTTTACTTTCCTTTCCAAGGCAGATGTATTTCACTGAAAAGATCTTTTTAAACTGTCTTAAAGAAAATGTAATTCTGAATTCAATTCTGGTACAAAGTATAATATCCCTTACGATAGTATGTCAATGGAATTAATCGACCTACTAAGGCACGTGGTTGTTTTGCCGTGTTCTTAAATTCTCTTTTTTTTGCTTACATAATGATTATTAATTTTTATAAACAATGCAAAAATGAAGCTCATCTATATTTTATTATTTTAGAATACTAAATTAAATAGGTTTTTGACACTGTGTGACACGGGAATTGCGGGAAATCATCGGTTATTCTTCCCTTTTGATATTAATGAATCATTAGTGTGTCTACTTTCGTTTTCACTTGGGCCTTGTGATACTTTACATCAACGAAGAATTTTCGACAACATTATTTTGAATGATACATGCGTTCAAGGATTTTAATTTAGAGGTAGAGCATTATATTAACTAGAACTGCCACTATCTTGGCGTGAATACCCCCGCATACCACTTTGTCAGAATCAACAGTGGCCATTTAAAGCTCAAGGACAACCTCCCTGCCAAATCTGAAGTTACTAAGCCAGTGAATTGCTAAGTTATGTATTCTACAAGCTTCAAATGTGAAAATGTCAAAATCAATACATTGCGGACAGGACATTCTTTAGCAATTGAGAAGAAAAGCTTTTTTGTCAAGGTCCCTGTGACCTTGACCTTTGACCCAGTTACCTCAAAGTCAATAGGGGTCACCTTATAGTCATGATCAACATCCATGCCAAATATGAAGACTGTGGGTCAAAGGAATCTAAAGTAAATGGGTGGACAAACTTTTTGAAGTCAAAGTCCCTATGACCTTGACCTTTGATCCAGTGACCTCAAAATCACAAGGGGTCATCTACTTATCATGATCAACATCCATGCCAAATATGAAGACTGTGGGTCAAAGAAATCTAAAGTTATTGGGCAGACAAAATTTTTGAAGTCAAAGTCCCTGTGACCTTGACCTTTGACCTGGTGACCTCAAAATCAATAGGGGTCATCTACTAATCATGACTAACTCCATGCCAAACATGAAGACTGTGGGTCAAAGAAATCTTAAGTTATAGGCGGACAAGCTTTTTGAAGTCAAGCCCCTGTGACCTTGACCTTTGACCTGGTGACCTCAAATTCAATAGGGGGTCATCTACTAATCATGACTAACCTCCATGCCAAATGATGAAGACTGTGGGTCAAAGGAATCTTAAGTTATTGGGCGGACAAGCTTTTTGAAGTCAAGGCCCCCTGTGACCTTTTGACCTGGTGACCTCAAAGTCAAAAGGGGTCACCTACTAATCATGACCTAACCTCAATGCCAAATATGAAGACTATGGGTCAAAGGAATCTTAAGTTATTGGGCGGACAAGCTTTTTGAAGTCAAGGCCCCTGTGACCTTGACCTTTGACCTGATGACCTCAAAATCAATAGGGGTCATCTACAAATCATGACTAACCTCCATGCCAAATATGAGGACTATGGGTCAAAGGAATCTTAA